GACCCTTAAGTCATCCTAATAGAGGATGTGAATATTGTCATTCCTACACCACCAAATTGCTCTTTCTGTTTCACCACGGCACCTTGCAAGAAAAAATTTAGCAATTTGGGGATCGTTCTGCTGAGTCGATCCTACCTTGATTCCTTCACTCTGGGGGACTTTTACAAGGAGAAAAATTATCTTAGCAAAATGAGTGAGAAGCAGAATCCAGAGCAGAAATTGTAAGGGTCGCCATGGCAAGAAAAGGATTTTCATCTGATTTGGGGGACTGAGGTCTCAAGTCTGTAGCTGGGAATTAATGTTTTACTTTTGTCTTTGGAGAATGGAAGGTTTCTGGAGGAGATGGAGGTTATTTAAAAAAAAACAAAAATGAATGGACAAAAGGCATCTTAGGCCAGTCAGGCACACAGCTCCCTTCCACTGACCAGGTACAAACTGACTGTGACAATGGTCTGAGAGGGGTGTAGACATTTTGTGCCCAGACCAAAGAGCCCAGGTGCCCACAATCTGGAGCTAAATTCCATTTTCGTGGTTTGACTCAGCTGCCAAAGCCCAGGGGCTTACGCACACAGATAAGATTTGATCTTTAGCAGCCTTGGGACCGAGCAGAAAATCTGTTTAATCAGCTGGATTGAAGTGTTCTGCTCCAAGTCACCAGTTTTAAGAAAAACTGCTGAAGGAACTGTGTGAGTGCTGCCTGGACTGGTCCTCTTCTTATTCTATTACCCACCAGAAATGCCTAAGGATGAGACACCCTTCATCACTGCTGCTGGCACCATCTCCCTGCAAATACACATCTTTTGTTCTGTCAAATTGATATTTCTCTCTATTTAACACCAGCTCCCAGATGGATCTGAGCTCCACAGAGAGTAACCTGTAAAGGCTTGTATTATACAGTAGGTTTGTGTGAATAATAACAGATTTGGGGGTTATTTCAGACCCAAATTATCAAGACTGATTTTATGTTTTCTGTTCCCTGGTTTAGGTGCCACTGATTCCTTTAGTTTCTGAGCCTCATTTTACTAAATTTAGAATACTCCACAGAAAGGCAAAAAGTTTTATTAGGAAGCCTCCTGTTTCTGCCCAAGGAGTCTGGGTTTCTCCTGTGCCATTTTCAGCTCAGGCTTCCACAGGTCTTGCAACTCAGAGAAACAAACATTTGATGTAAGACATCATCACCTCTTCCCATAAGACAAAAATTAGCTCCTGTGAACAAAAAAATCTTTCCACTTTAAAGACTTTTAACTACTGCCAGAGGAGGAATATTGAGGTAGGTGGCCCCTGTCCTCACAGTGGATGTTTGCAAGTTCTGCAGCTAGCCAGCAGTTGCGAAAGGAAATAAGAAATCTGTTATTCTATTCAAAACAGACATTGGTGGGTAATGCTGCTTTCCAGTGCTCTGCCCTTCAGAGAGATGCTTGTCACTAAAACAGTCAAACTGCTTGAAAGCATTCTGTAAACTCTCAGATTATGGTGTTAAAAAACAAAAATTGGTGCTTTACAGCCTTTTAGATATGCCAGTAGTAGATGAATTAAGGCTATGTAAGTACTGAAAAATGGTGATTTAATGTCAGAACTTAAAAATGTACCTGAGAATGAGCAGTTCTGGAAAATTTAAACACTGAGTGACCTTGAGCACTTCCCTGAGCCTTGAGGTTCTCCCTTTAAAACTCCTTCCCAGCTCCTTTGTGTGCCCCTCCAGGGAGATAGCAGATTCATAACCTGCAGTAATTGAAACCAGTGTGAATTTCTTGAGTATGACTAATCTTTACCATTCCTTACCAAAAAAAAAAAAAATCACCCAGTCCCAGCCAAGACTTTATTAATTTTAATATGAAAACATCCACACCTATCATGTCTCCCCTGAGGTCCTCCCAGGCTGCTGCAGAAATGGAGTCTGACTTCTATTGCTTTGGCTGGAGGCTGAGGATGTGAATTCCTCTGGCTAATTGCCTTTTTGGATAACCTACAAAGCACCAGAGGTCAGATTCTTGCCCTGTTAATGTTGCCTTGGCTCTGTGCCCCCACTCCCATCATTGGGAATCCCAGGAGAAGAGAGGTACCAGGCCATTCCTCACAATCTCTGCCTTTTAACAAGTCTAAAAATGCCACCAAATTGGGTAAATCCCCCCCCAAAAAAACTGGGTGGTGATGTCTAGCTATGTCTGTGACATGTGGGGTTAGTCAGCTTGACACTGAGGAAAAGGAAAAACACAATTCCAGGTCAGCAGTGGCCTGTCACCCTGCCTGTGTGATGCTGCCACATAAACCCTCAAAAATCAGACCATACCTGCATGGAGGTACCAGGCAAATATCCCTAAAATGTGGATCCTTCATCCTGAAATTATTTACTCTGGAAATCATCCCCAGATGGTGCTGCATGGAAGAGTTTCTCCCATCAGCAGGGAAGGAAAGGGAAGCACATGTGGAGCTCTCCATCCATGTTGCCAGAAGGAGAAATATTCCTCACTCCTCAGCAGGGCCTGTGCACACAGTGCTTGGGATAGATGGGGTTGCTGTGCACAAAAAAATCCCTGTGATTGCCTTTTTGTCACAGAAAAGGGCATATTTGTGGCTAGAAGTCAAAAAGAGCTGATCTGCAGAGCCCCTGTGGGCTTGTCCTCACTCACAGAGCCCAGAGGTTTTGCCTCCAAGCTGGAATACTCCCACAGGCCTTGCCTTCCCAACCAAAGCTTTTTTGTTAAACAGGCTGGGTCTAAATCAATAAAAATCATTAATAAAAAAGAATTGTCAGATGTTAGCCAACAGCCAAAAAGAAAATGTAAAAAAAACCCCAGCCCCAGACCCCAGACTTGCAGGATTTTGGAGTCTGAGTGGGAACACACAGTGTGGGGCTTATGAGGGACAGGGCAGGCTGGTGTCACACCCTGCAGGACTGAGGCCTTGGAGTGGCTGCTTGGAACAGAGGCTGGACAAAATTAAGAAAATAAAGTGGGTATTTATTAAAGGCCTTCAACAGGTACAGCTTGGGCAGTCAGAGGCTTCCCAGAGGCTACACCCTAGATGGACAATGATCATGAGTTTTTCACACAATTATAAGTTTGGTCCATTTGCATATCAGGGGTTAATCCTCCAATTACAGCTTCAGGTAATGAAGTCATTTACCCCCAGTTTGCTCCCCCTCAATTCACTTTTGTTTTTACTTTTGGAGCCTGAAGCTGTCCTTGAATTTCAGGCCTAGAGGGATTTTTTTCTGACCAAAATGTGAAGAGAGCAACTATATATGGAGTTTAGAGTTATGCACTAATTCAGTAGTGCATAACTTTGAAAAAAACATAAACGCACTAATTCAGTAGTGCATAATTTAGAAAAAAACCATAAATGCTTAAATCGTGAGGCATTCAGAAGGAGCACCCAGGCGCCCTGGGGTGACCCTCCCTGAGGCCAGGCTGGGGCTGATGTGCTCTAGAGGGAGCCACATCTGTCCTTGCTGTCCCAGATGGAGGTCACCGTGCTCCATCCAGGCTTTCCAGGAAAGAGGGAGTGGCTGAGGCTGGAGTTACTGAGCCTGGACCACCTGGGAAAGAGAGAGCAGCCAGCACTTGTCCTCCACATCTAGGCACTCCACAGGAAGGATTCAGGGATGCTGAGCTGGTTTTGAGCTCCCCACCCCAAGCTGGCTGTGAAGAAATGGAAGGGCAGGCAAGTAAACGTGCATGTTCTGATAGGGGAAAATGGCATTTTTTTCTTTTTTTCAGTCTGCAGCAGGGGTTGGTTCAGGTTATAGCGTTTAGATCTGGACTTGAAGCACTTCAGGATTTGTGTCTGTTTGGGGGTAGGGGACTGCTCTCAGGACTCACACCTAGACCCTGGTTTTGCCTGAGTATTCTGCAAATTTTATGTGTTTCTAGCTCTGATGGAGAAAGAGGAGGAAAGAATTATCTCTGTGCATTTGAGAAAACAATCATATATTTGATATGGGAGGGGGGAATCCTACTCTCTTTAAAGGCAAAGTTGGGAAACAGCTACCTTTTATTTCAAGGAGTCAGATTCACAGGAACTACAGCCATAAAACACAACAGCAGCCAAAAGAAACCACACAAAAACCTCTTGTGTTTTATGCCTCCTTTTCTATTTCAGGTCCTCATTTGCCTAATTAGTTCTCAGAGGCTGGCAGAGATTTTCCCTGCAGCACTGGGCTCTGCTGACTGCAGAGACCCTACCTGGCACACTCAGCCAGTGCGTCAGCATTCTGGGTGGAAATGAATGAAAAATCAATCAGGGCAGCTGCAGTGGTAGCATTTTCAACTCTAACCTACTTTGTGCATGGCTTCAAACATTTCACTGTGTGTTCAGGCAGTTTGGTTTTTGTGGTTTTTTTTGAGTGATAAGTGGATCTGAAGTGAAATTGATCTTCCTTAGTCAGCCTAATAAATGTTTTGTCATCTTTGCTGCTTAGCTCGAGCAGATTTGCCATCCTGACTGCTAAGTTAAGCTGCAGACTTGATTGAAATGCCAAAACCTACAAGAAGATTGTTTTAATCTTGAGAACCTGTCACCAGCAGATTGCATCACGCATTGGATATAGATAGAGTGATAGAGCTTTGATTGTTTTAATTGTATTTGCAGACCAGAAATAGAGTAGGTCTGGAAAATCAAAAGTACACCAGAACCTCTTTTGAAGCACAGGTACTGCTTATGTGTGGTCTTGCAAGGAGTTTGGCTTAGGAATATTGGTCTGTGCACTTTCTTTTTATTTTTTTTTTCTTGTTGCATTCTTGCATAGGCAGAGTTAAATATGGATTAGTAGTTTCACTAAGTTAAAGTCCACAATAAAGTGGTCCAATATTCATGCCAAAAAAATTAGCAGCTGTTGTATCTTCTGCCAGCTGAGTGGGTTCAATACATTAAAAATAAAAAATAAAAAAAAGAAACTCATAAAATCACTGCTCTAACAAGTTGAGCAGTGCAACATTGTTAAAGGTCTCCCAAAATTCACAATCCTCCTCGTGTGTGATGCCCTTACAGTGAGGAAGATTCTTTTGGCCGTAAAGATGAAGACTCTACTTTTTCTGGTGCTGATCTCCGCCTGTGGGGCTGAACCTCATCCTGGCAACTCAAGTCTGGAGCATGAAAGAATTGTTCACATTCAAGGTAAGGAAATAAGTGAGAAAATACCATTATCTTCATATTGCTGAGGGAAACAGAATAATGTGCTTAATGATCCTTAATTTATTTTAAAAATTATTTTTATTCTGTCACACTACTTTTTAAATATTTGTATTGCTGGTGACCAAATGTTTTCTTTTCTGGTGCTGTTGCATTGTTATTTCTCCTAAGAAAAGTCCAAAAAAAGAAAGTTGTACTGTTTAATAGCACTTAGTCACAACCTTGCAAAAAGGTTAGTGAGTAAAATACAGCATGATTTAAGACAAAGAGAAAAAGCATGCATCCTAAAGTAATAAACAACTGCAGTGGGTTGAAATACTTCAGTTTATTGTAGAATAGATTTGATTTTAAGAGGTCTGCCATACACAGCTCTCCACAGCACAGGTATTTATTGCTGTGGTTTGTTTAAAAAGGCTCAGCACATCAGAGATCATAACTGGGCAATGTAAACTGGTAAATAAAAAAAAATAATAATAAAAAATGTAACTTACCCTGAAAGAAATGTGCCTTTAATTCACACTAAATATTATCCTGGCCTTCTGCAGAATCCTGTTTGAGTCCCAGAGATTATAGCTGTGGCAGGATTTGAGCCTGCAGCACAATGCAGCTGTTTTTTCCAGTCCCAGCTTCAGTCCTTGAGGGTTATCCTGCACAAGAAAATTCAGGGGGTTCATGCAGTAAGGACAGGCAGAATGAACAGGGATTCTCCTGCTTTCACCCCTGCCTTCCCTGAGCCTGGCTAAAATTAATTTTGCAAAATTAAGGAACGCAGAATCACTGCCCCTCCTCTCTCCCTGTCTCTCCCTCTCACTCCCCCTCTCTCTTTTTAAAGTTTGATTTATTTCTCTCCACAGCCAGAAAATCGTGCTGTTTGGGTAAATATGAATTACCAAGCCAGAGAGCAGGGTAGCAGGAAGGGCTGAACGTTCAGGAGTTCACAGGAGAGGCAGAGAAGTTAAAGGCACCCTGTACCTATTACAGCAGGGATTGTCAAGGTCAGGCAGGGAGCAGCAAACAGCTGCTCTCCCTCTGAGGATGAAGGTCAAAGGAATGTGCTCTCAAACGTAAAATGAGGATCTATCACTGCCCTAAGTGATAGATCCTCATGTTACTTGTTTCCCAGGGCAAATTTCAAATCATACATCGATGCCTAATACACACATATTTTGCCTTCCCTTGTATAATGCAGATTTTTGTCTCTGAGCTTGGCTTTTTTGGAAAATGAAATTGTGATATCCAGCACTTTAGTGCAATTCAGGAGTCATGCTTGTCAATTGTCACTAACCCAAGCAGTTCAAAGCTGACAGAAGTTTCCAGGTGAGCCCTTCTCCTTCCCTGGGAAAACTCACCTGTACCTTATTCCTTGAAGGAGAGATGGATAAATATTTAAATTCGAGTTGTATCACAACCCCTCTCCTCTCAAGCTGGTTCAGGCTCTGAAATGCACAGAGCCACAAATCAAAGGGAATGAAACTGCTGAGGATGTGGCATTTCTGCTTCTGATTTTTGCCATTCCACTCTGCATTGTGGAACCCCACCAGGGCTGGGATCCCTCTCTGCCCAGTGCTGCAAAAAACAAAAAACAAAATTAAAAAATTATAAAAAATCTACACCTGGAGATGGGATGGAGATCAGGGAATGCTGTAGAAGAGGTTCAGGTGTTTTTAATCACATTAACAAAACACAGCATCCCTCTCCACAGCTGAAATCCAGGAGATGTGTGGCTAAACTCTGCCTGGGAATGCCTTAGAATTACAGAAGGTATGAAAGGGATTTCCTGAGGCAGAGAAGGAAACTGTGTTATAGTCCCCATACTTTACATTATGTAATCTCCTGTAGGCTGAGTTTTATTTGCTGAAAAGCTGGGTTTCATGTCTTCTTACTGCAAAAGGGTTCTGCACCCTGCTTTTCTGACATGGAAAACACCCTCCTAATCTTCCACATGTATTGTATGGTCTTATGCTTGTAATGCTGCTATTCTTTGGCTTCCAATAATATTTTTTCTTCTTTGAGGTACACTTTGAAGCATCAATAACACCATATCCCCAGAGCTACCATCTGAGTGTAATTCTTCAAATCCTTCTCCAAGTGTATCACTGTCCTGATTGGATATTGCAACCTGTTAGTATCAGGAATTCATCTTTACATTAGTTCTGAATTCTTACTCCCTGAGTGCATCCAGCCAGGGCTTTATTCCGGATAAAAATTTATTTTATTCCAGATAAAATCTTCATTTGGCCTCAGTGTTTCTGTTTTCCAGTTTTCATGCTTTGTTCTTCAGACCTTGGATCAAATTTGCTGCTCCCAGCTGTGCTGCAGTGCTGATCAATAATCTGTGGTGATGGACAGTATTTAGCAGTCAGTCTCCCTCACTGCCACTTGAAATTAACAACTACAAGCTCTACATCAATAATTTTTCATCCTAGACCTCAAAAAGCTGAGTTTTGCATTCAGCATTAAATGTCATCCTAATTTTTCCACCCTTCTTTCTTCAAATGTTTAAATGCCAGCTCTCCTCCTTTCAGTGCTGCTTAATAAGCCATGTGAAAATTTTATTTATCCAAAAGCCACAATTACTTTATAGGATAAAATTAGTGGAAATATTAGAGAAATTGTACTTAAGGCAGTTCACTGGCCTTCTTTTCTATATTTTTTCCATATCATTCAACTCCCTAAGCTCCAAGCAAATGATACCTCACATTCCTCAGCCTTATACATGTGTTTTTGCTACATACCTGATATCAGATTACTCTTTCTTTGGCAAATATCTGCTTAACCTTATCCCACTTTCTAGTACTGACTCTATTCCTGTTGTTCAAAAACTTTCCTTCAAAATTTGTTCTAAAGTCATGCTTGCTGCTGAGGTCAGGCTAATTAACTGGTTAATGGCTTAATTACTTTCTTTACATGAATTTGTTATTTTGCTGCTGTCCAGAAACACTTTAGGTGCTGTCCTGAAGTGACAGGTCAGGCCACAGCAGTGCCAGTAGGTCTGGGTACTCCAATTTTCTGCCCCTCCATCAGTGTAAAATCTCCTGACACCCTCCTCAAACTCAATATTTGTCAACCAGAACAAACAGTGTTTCATAAATTGTAAATCCTCTGCAATTATACTTTGCTTTCAAGGACACAGAGCTCTGCCTTTCAAATGTCCACTCTCTGGAAAAGATAATTTTCTTTATTTTTACTAAACACTTTCCCAGTCTCTGACACTGCAACAGACATAGTTCTGTGTCTGTGTTCTCTTTTAAATATTTCAGTTTTTCTCTAGATATGATTTGCTGGTTTCATCAGCAGCTCTGCTGACAGTGTCACTTCTAGCTCCTGGTTCTCTCCTCGTTGGTTAATGCAGTTAATTTGGACTTAAGTCACAACTTAAACAACTGCAAGACAGTTTTACCTCCCTACTTGTCACAGTGTTTTCAGGTTATTTCCTCTGTCCCAATTGCCTTTTTTATATATTTTTTTCTCCTCTGGTTTTATTCCACTATGCACAAAATTGAAAAATTTATAAAGTTTATATTTATATGAAAAGCTGCATTTTATTACTTCTGTGGCTTTACTTTCTTTGCTGAAGCCTGTGGTGGATTTCATGGTTTTGCCCTTTTATCCAGGCTGCTTGACCCTCTCCCCTTCCTGTCGTAATTTGTCATTCCAGTCTCACTTTTGGGGATAAAAAAATAAAAATCCCAGAAATCCCACACCCCAGAAAAACCCCGTGTGCCTCAGGGAGACACCAGTTTCACTCTTCAGAAAAACCCACAACCATAAATGAAATAATCTGGGGAGTGTAAAAATTAATATTCATATTCATTCATTTCGCTGTGTTTGAGGTGAAAGTAGGCACCCCTTTGCCTATCAAGATCCCTGCACAGATTTATTTATGCATACCCAAAAAATATTTCAGCGTGGAACGAACAGAAAACTTTTTAATGCTGCCCAATTGGAGCAAACAAACAAACAAACAAACAAACAAAAAACCTAAGCACACGCAAATTATTTAAATCAATTAACTAATAACAAAAGCAGGGGAAATCTTTGTCCAACTCATTCTGCAGTATTATGAGTTTTATTTACAGTCCACTTCTTTTCCTTCAAATCAAGTCAGCACCAAAAGAGAGTAAGAATCTGAGCAGAGTTTCTGGGCCAGCTAAAAACCTGATAAAAGATTAAATGCACTGCTCATCTGACCTCTTAATTTATTTCTTATCCACTCAAGATAATCTTAACTTCTTCCTTTTCCGCTTTACCTTTGACTTCTTTCCTTCTTTCCACCTTTCTGCATTTTTCCATTTTCCATGACACTGGCACGTCTACATTTCTTTCAATTTCCTTGCCTTTGTGTTTTCTGCTTTATGTCTGGGGTTTTGTTTGGGTTTTGTTTTTTTGTCTCTTGCCCTTTTATTTTGCCATTCAGGACAATGTTGATGATGCCACGATGCATTTTCCTGCCACTTGTTGCAATTTTCTTTGATTTCCACAGATCCAAAGATTTTTTCTTTGATTTCCACACCACCTGCTTCCCTCCTCAGATCATGGCCTGTTGCAACTGCAGGGCATAGAAAAGTCAGCAGAGAGCAGAAATTCCACAGAAATCAACAAAATCCTCCCCCCCTAAAAAAAATCCACAAAAAAACCCCAAAAAACAAACCAAAAAAATCTCAACACAAATGTGAAAAAAAAAAAGTGCTCTCCTTGAAGGTACCCTGGACTGCATCTTCTGGAGCAGACCTTAACTGATGGGTGCCAGGATATCTGAGTTATTAAAAAATATATAATTACAGAAATACAAGGTTTCGCGTAGAACGTGAATTGAAATCATTAATTTCCATTTGCTGGTTATGTCAGTGGAATTCCATATTTATAAGTAGCATTTGGGGGTGATTAAGGGACTGTTTATGCAGTTTCTGTGTAATATTTTGGTTCTGTCAAACAGTCCTCATGCCACCCATGAAGATTTACTTCTGTGAGGAAGGAGGGCAGAG